TAAGGCAAAAGGAAACTTTCTCAATCTTTATGGTGCTTTCATCAGATAACCAGTATAAAATATCTTCCAGAAGACTCTGTCTCCTTGGACTTTAGAGTTTGTTCTTGAGACGTTAAAGATAAACAAAGATGGCCTTCATAAATCTATCTAACGTTACAAATACACAGTTTCTGGTTCTTTCTCCCCTTGGGGCAATAGGTCAGGTATCACCAACAATTCAGATATTCTGGCCTTTCTCAAAAATGTCACTGCATCAGGAATAGTATGGCTGAGAAATGCTTGGAGAAGATGAGTAAGCTTTTTAGTAGTTCTGCCATAAGTAAAAATCAGGTGCCTTCTGGGGTAACCTGTGACAAATGCTTGATCATGTGCTGAGTTTGGATTTAAAAGAATCCCTTGAAGAGGGAAGTGTTTGCTTTCTAGAGTGAAATTCCAGGGAGAGTATTTAAACCCCATTTTGGGGGAGTGAGGGGTGTCTGGTTTCCCTGTATTACCATCAGACCCTGATTTGCGGTCTCCATGCCAGCTCTGTAAGACCTTTTAACAACACAGTTCTAAGTTCTCCTCTGTCCTCTAGGGTCGCTATGAGTCAGAATCGACCCAGTGGCAGTGGGTTTGGTTTGGTTTCTGGTTCTAGCCTATAAGTTGTTGGTATTATTATCTCCAGTTGGCAGATGGGGGACCAAGGCTTAGATCAAATAAAATTTGCTCAAAGCCCCATAGGTACAAAGTACCAGAGCTGAGATTTGAACCAAGGCCATTCCAATTCCAAAGCCCTTACTTTCTTCATCTGACATTTCTTTTATTGTTTAGTTTAGTTTATTTTGCTGTTGTTGTTGAGAATATACCCAGCAAAACATACACCACTTCAACCGTTTCTACATGGACAGTTAATTCAGTGACATTGATTACATTCTTTGGGTCTCACCAGCTGCTGTGGTCTGACTGGTAGTTGTATCTGAGACGGCCACTTGCAAGCTTTTAAGACCCGAGACGCAACTTACCTAAGTAGGTTGTAGAACGTACACTTTATAGACTATGTTGTGCCAAATGACTGGGATGTCCCATGAGACTACGGTCCTAAGCCTTCAAACCCTGCCAGCCAGTCCTGAGAGGTGTCTGGTTGTGTCTGGGAGGTGTCTGACTGTGCCCCCGTGTGCTTTATTATATGTATGAATATATGTGCAACACTCACAAACATGTATATAGACATGCCTGCAGATACACCTACGTATACTCACATCTACCTTCCTTTACACATATTTGCACACATATCTGTCTCTGTAACCACCCATGTAGTTTTTTGGTTGTTACTGCAGCTGTTGCCAAATGGTGTACGTTATGGCATTTCTAGTAATGGCCCTTATTGCTGTGTATTTCTTGGTGTCATTCTTTGCCTTAGTTAAGTTGTGCTGACTTCACTGACACGCGGTGTGTTGCCTTTCCCACCACCAAAACTAACAAGTGTCGACTGTCTAGAGAGTGATTCCCCCTCCTTCTCCCTCCCATCCCTGGAAACCACCAAAGAACACTGATTTCTATTTGTATACCTTTTTTTGTCTTTTTATAAGAGTGGTCTCATACTGTATTTGTCTTTTTGTGCTTGACTTATTTCAGTCAGCATAACATCCTCCAGATTCATCTGTGTTATAAGATGTTTCACGGACTCATCGTTATTCTTTATAGCTGAGTAGTATTCCGTTGTACGTATATACCACGTTTTGTTTATCCATTCATCCGTTGATGGACAGTTAGGTTATTTCCACCCTTTTGCTATTGTGAATAATGCTGCAGTGAACATGGGCATGCCTATGTCTATTCGTGCCACGGCTCTTAGATCTCTAGGGGATATACCTAGGAGTGGGGTTGCTGGACCATAAGGTATTTCTATTTCTAGCTTTCTAAGGAAGCATCGTACCGTTTCTGTAGTGGTTGTACCATTTTACAATCCTACCAACAGTGGATAAGCGTTCTAATCTCCCCACATCCTTGCCAGCATTTGTTGTTTTCTGTTTTTTTCATCAATGCCGTTTTTGCGGGGGTAAGATGGTATCGCATTGTAGTTTTGATTTGCAGCTCTCTGATGGCTAATGGTTTCGAGCTTCTTTTCGTGGTGTTTGTCGGCCACTTGAATGTCCTCTTTGGTGAAGGCTCTGTTCATGTCCTTTGCCTATTTTTTAATTGGATTGTTTGCCTTTTTGTTGTTAAGTTGTTGAAGTTTTCTGTATATTTTAGAGATCAGACCCTTATCAGATATATCATTCCCAAAGATTTTTTTCCCAATCAGAAGGTTTTCTTTTTACTCTTTTGATAAAGTTTTTTGATAAGCGTGTTTAATTTTTAGAAGGTCCCAGTTCTCTGATTTGTCTCCTGTTGCTCATGTATTTGTGGTTGTGTTTGGTGATCTATAACTGAAAATAACTAGGTCCTATAGTTTTATATAGATAGTTCGTAAAGGAGCTTAATGCTCAAGGCAAACATTTTTTATTAATTAAGCTAAACTATTGTTTGGTTTTAAAAAGACTTCAGAGGATATTTTTGGTTTAAGGTTTAAAGATGATCTCAGGGCAACTGTTTCAGGGGTTCATCGACATTTCTTTTAAATCAAAAAAACTAGACCCATTGCCATGGAGTCTGGTCAATTCCAACTCACGGCGACTCCATGTATTACAGAGTAGAGCTGCTCCATATGGTTTTGTTAGCTGTAATCTTCACAGAAGCAGACAAGATGCCTCTGGGTGGGTTCGAACCAGCAATCTTTCAGTTCGTAGCCGAGCACTTTGCTGTTTGTGCCACTCAGTGGCTCCTGACAGTTCTTTTAAGGGAGGGTATATAAAGAGGTTGAGAAGGAAGGGCAAAGTCTGGAATTATTGCAGCTGAACATCATGTCTTCCCTAATGGTTTGCTGCACCTGGCAGAAAGCACGGGGCTACGGGGTGTGAAGTCACCGTCACTGAAGCACTGATTAAAATTATCGGGGGAGCTCGTCAGATTTCCCCTGGGGTACCCCAAAGACCAGTTAAATTGGAGTCTCGGGGGGTGACACCCAAGCATCAGGGTTTTTTAAACAGCTACCCCACTCCCCGCCAGGCGATTCCAATGAGGAGCCAAGGCTGGGAACCATGGCTCTGAAGCCTTGGTTAAAGAAATTAAAGAGCTTTCAGGAGCTTTGCCATTTTACTCCCTGCAAATGAGATATAGTAAATACTGCTTAGCCCTTGTCAGCAGCTTTCACTAAGCTGCAGTAAGGACTGTTGCTGTTTCCTGGGGATACACAAAAAACTTTTGGATAAAGCACCTTGTATTTGCTCTTCAAAACTTAAGAAAGCAGAGCATGCGAAGCGGATGGGGGGGTATTTCTTAAGTACATTTTGTAAGCACCTATCTCAGAACCTAGCCCATGTGATTGTGAAAGTTGTTTCCAGTATGACTAGAGGAGTTAGCTGAGACATTGGTGGCTCAGTGGTAGAGTTCTTGCTTTCCATGCAGGAGACCCGGGTTCGATTCCCAGCCAATGTATCTCCTGTGTGGCCACCACCCGTCTGTGAGTGGAGGCTTGCGTGTTGCTGTGATACTGAACAGGTTTCAGCAGAGCTTCCAGACTAAGACGGAGTAGGAAGAAAGGCTGGTGATCTACTTCTGAAAATCAGCCAATGATAACCTTATGGATCACAACCGTCCAATTCGAAACCAATGATGGGGAGGGCACAGGACTGGGCAGTGTTCCGTTCCATTGTGCATGGGGTCGCCATGAGTCGGGATTGTCAGTTGTTGAATGAATCAAAAGTGACAGTGACTAAGAGTCAGGTCAGGTTGACTGGGGTTGATGTAGAGAAAGCCAAACCAGACGGAAAAGGAAGAAAACAAACCCATTGCCGTTGAGTTGATTCTGACTCATGGAGAGCCCGTGTGTTACAGAGCAGAACTGTGCTTCATAGGGTTTTCTTGGCTGTGATCTTTATGGGAGCAGGTCAACAAGGCTTTCTTCTGAGCTGTCTCTGGGCAGGTTAGAACCATGAATCTCTTGGTTAGTAGTCAAGTGCAAACCATCTGTACTGCACCATGCAGGGACCTAACCAGACTGAGGTCGCTGTAAACTCTGCAGGCCATCACATACTCCTGAAAAGAGCCTCCGTGAAAGATTTCCACTTCTTCATACGGATCTGGGTAACTACGGTGAAAGCCGAGACCCTCCCCCACCACACACACACCATTTTCTACGGGAATAAAACCCAAACCAACCCCGTTGCCTTCGAGCCGATTCCAACTCAGAGCGACCCAATAGGGCAGAGTAGAACTGCCCCATAGGGTTTCCAAGGAACTGTTGACCTTCTGGTTAGCAGCCAAGCTCTTAACCACTGTGCACCGGGGCTCCTGCACAGGTACAGGAAGACACTGTTGGATGAACCTGTCGCCCCCCTTTTACGCCCGTGTGGTTCCAGTGCGTGGTCTATGTGTCACATTTGAAAACAAAATTGATGAACACTTAACTTCACTGCGTTCCAGGCAGGATTCTCCAAAATAGAGGCTGTGGAGTCCCTGGGTAGCACAAACAGTTCAGCACTCAACCATTAGCGAAAAGGTCGGCAGTTCGAACCCACCCAGAGGTGCCTCGGAAGACAGGCTTGGCGATCTGCTTCCGAAAGGTTACAGCCTTCACGACCCTACTCTGACACACGTGGGGTCACCACGAGTCGGAATCAACTCGGCAGCAACTGACAATGACAACAAAGATGCTGCTGGGTTTTTCCGTGTCCTAGGAGACACCGTGTCCCAGGAGACGCCACTGGTCACATTAAAAATATGTGGAATATAAAAGTCTGCAGAGAATGAAAATACAGTATTACTATAACAACCAAAACAGCAGACACATTCTCTTCTAAAAGATCACCGTAGGTTTCTCCTAGGCCCGCCTATGCCCACTTAGTCGTCCGTAGACGGAGGCGCGCGTTCCTCTGTTCTGTCCTTAGTAACAGTCCTCAATGTCTGTGTGCTTCCAGAATGACGTGGCTACCTTGCTGAAGCCGATATCAGAGAAGATTCAGGAAATCCAGACTTTCAGAGAGCAGAACCGGGGAAGTGACATGTTTAACCACCTCTCGGCGGTCAGCGAAAGCATCCCTGCCCTGGGGTGGATAGCTGTGGTGAGTCCAGGCGTCACGTCGCCTGCACCTGCGCACGGTTCTGCCCTGTTTAGGAAAACTCCCAGCTGCGGTTTCCACGCTCACGGCCACACGCCTCCTCCCTCAGGCTGGTGCCCTGGGGAGATTCCTTTCAGGCGGACCACATCGGCCCCTTCTGAGCCTGTGTCAGGTTAAACGCTGGATGTCCTGTGGGGTGGAACGTGTTTCACCGGCCTCTGCAGATCAGAACTGGCCTCTGACTTTCAAGTCAGCATCTTCATTGCTTTCTTCTTCCTTGTGGCGTTGTCTTTCTTATCCTGGTTTTTGTTTTCTTTTTCTTTTTTTCTTTCCCTCTATGCTTGGGTGATGGTGCTGTTCTCTCAGTCCCCCAAGCCGGGTCCTTATGTCAAGGAGATGAACGAGGCGGCCACCTTTTACACCAACAGGGTCCTAAAGGACTACAAACACAGGTATGAACCTTCTGTTACTGACCTCATTTTCAATTGATCACTTGTCTGACATTTGTCCTTGAAATTTAACATAGTTAATTACTGGGCCCCTTCAAAGGCCCTTAACTAGTATACTGTAAACTTTAAGGAGTCCCTGGGTGTTGCGAAAAGTTAACGTGCTCGCCTGCTAACTGAAAGGTTGGAGGTTCGAGTCCACCCAGAGGCACCTTGGAAGAAAGGCCTGGTGATCTCCTTCTGAACAAAAGTCAGCCACTGAAAATCTTATGGCGCTCAGTGCTACTCTGACACACATGGGACCACCATGAGTCAGGGTCACTTGATTGGCAACTGGAACTGCTCATAAACTTTAAAGAAAAACCCATCTTCGCCGGTAGAGCCAAGTGGAACCTGGAATCAATTATCTAGATAATGTATTTGTTTTGGAAAGCCTCCCTCGGTGTTCTTGTAATGAATTACCTCTCCCCGCGTGGGTGTATGTCACTATCATATGTATTCCCACCTTAGTGAGACGGTTTTATAAGCGTCGGTTTGTGATGGGACAGCCCTATATGGTCCCCAGACTTTTACACTGATAAAGGAGCAGGCTTTACCCAGGAACATATGTAGAGTTGGTGGGTGAAGAGATAGAAGAGAGAAGAAATCAGGAAATGAAGTGCAAATAAAGAACAGAAGTGAGCTGAGGGTATGAAGCAGGCCAGCGAGAGAGAAGCCAGAGATTGCGCTAAGATGGAATGCAGTTGGGGTGGAGAAAGGGGCTTCCATTAGAGCAGCAGCTGTTCAGATGGCTGTGGGAAGCAGATCAGTGTGAACCCTGCATTCTAAAGTATAAATAACAGATCCACCACCCATCTGTTAGTTTATCGTACTGTGCTGGCTTACATGTTGCTATAATGCTGGAAGCTGTGCCACCAGTATTACAAATACCAGCAGGGTCACCCATGGCGGACAGGTTTCAGCAGAGCTTCCAGACTAAGACAAACTAGGAAGAAAGACCTGTCAATCTACTTCTGAAAATTAGCCAGTGAAAACCCTATGGATCACAGCAGAAGACTGTCTTGTACAGTGCTGGAAGATGAGTCCTCCTGGTTGGAAGGTACTCAAAATACACAGTGACCTCAGTGATGGACTGGAGCGTACCCACGATCGTGAAGACCACGCAGTGTTTCGTCCTGTTGTACATGGGGTCACCATGAGTCAGAGCCAACCAGACAGCACCTAACAGCAACATTAATATGAACGTGAATTTGAGGGCCTAAATCACCTGGACTCTTGCCTCAAGTCACCTCTTTATTTTACTAACATGGACTTGAAAATAAGAACTCACGTAAAAGGATCTTGAACATTATCCAAACAAAGTATATGGACTATAGAGAAATTGCATAGAATGTATAAATAAATAGCCACTCTAGTTCTGGGTCCTTGATCAATACTCCATGTTTAAAATTGACATCACTGTTTCTTTTTTAGGTTATTTTTTGCTTTAATAAATGGTAAGTAGATGCAAAAGAATATTTACAAAATATGTGCAAGGTATAAAGAATCACCATACCAAAAATACCTATCTTTCCACTGTTCGGTTTAGGAAATAGGTACCAACATTTCTTTACTTAAAAAGCAGCCATGGGCACTTCCTAGACACACCCAAACATCTCATGGAACTGAGTTACTGCTCTTGAAGGATAAGAACCGTAGTGTCCGGGGACATCTAGGTCATCTGGCAGGGACTGACCCAGTACGCAAGATATGCACAGGCTTACTTGTGCTTACTTGCTAATCTGTAGTACACAATTTCACCTGTTTTTCACCCATGTGAAATGCCTTGTTCACCATAAGCCCGTGGGTACCTTGCTCACTGGTTAATCTACCCCATCAGTTGGCAGGACATAGTTCGTAAAGCTAATGGTCTACATCTTAGTGTAGTGAGTAGCATCTGGGGTCTTTTTTTTTTTTTTTTTTCAGAGAGTCAAAGCTTTTATTAGCTGATCATCCCTAGCATGTGCCAGAGATACCGCTCTGGTACCTGTACCCCCAAGGTGGAATGTGGGGGTGGGGAGTACTGTTTACAGTGGGAGGGAGGGACAGAGGCCTGCACAAGGGTATTGGGACAACCACCTTCCTCAAGAGCTCTGAGAACTTTGTGCTTTTCTCCTAGTGGGTACTGAGCTACCTGGAGTAGGTTTTGTGTTTATCTTCTTTAGGAAAAAGATGTATAAACCAAACAACAATCCAGCTCAATTTCCAGGCAGGGGATTTCACGATATCAACGAAGCAACACATTATTTACTTCCCTAATAACGTCTGGGGTCTTAAAAGCTTGGGAGTGACCATCTAAGATACAACTATCGGCCTCATCCCACCTGGAGCGAAGGTGCAGGAAACCAGAGACTCGAGGAAGCAATTAGTCCAAAAGACTCACGGCCCACGTGAACCACAGCCTCCTCTAGCCAGAAGAACTAGCTGATACCCAGCTACCACTACCGACCGTGCTAACCTGGGACACTATAGAAGGTCCTGGTTAGAATGGGAGAAACATGTGTCACCCTTACAACTAGCTTAACTAGTTGTTTGGCTTTTTGCCAATAAATGAATAGAGTAGGTTGATTATTTTGGCATCTCTGAGTCATGATTATTGAAATCCACATTCCTCTACCATAGTGTCTTCCAGAAGCTTCCAGTAAATGAAAACCAAGGATGGGTTTGCAACTCCCGATATATAGTTGGGTCCAGCGTAATGCGTTATCCCTTAGAGACTGACGTTATTCCTTACTACTACAAGTTTTGCTAGGACTTTCTTCAGGTCAAAATGATATTCCAGTGGGTTAAAAGAAAAATGAATTTGCCTGCACAGGTTTGCATTTCATCAGTTGTTAAACTTCGTAATGGAAAGTTCATTGAACGTGCAATAGGCTCTTTCTATAAAGCCTGCAGACGTGTGTGTATTGTACATACATACACAAATATACATGTAACGAAAATCCACTGTAGTCAAGTCGATTCCGACTCCTAGTGACTCTGTAGGACAGAGTAGAACTGCCCCATAGGGTTTCCAAGGCTGTAAATCTTTACTGAAGTAGACTGCCACATCTTTCTCCTGTGGGGCTGCTGGTAGGTTCAGACTGTTGACCTTTTGGTTCCCAGCCAAGCGCTTTAACCACTACACCACCAGGGCTCCACATGTATGTAATACGTATGTATGTATTAAATAGTCACATATATGTATGTGTGTACATTTATACTGAAGTAAATTTAATGCTCTAGTAAGAGCTATTGGACATACTGCTTCCTGTTTGTGAGCATTGTACTCCCCGTTGCCGTCGATTCTGACTCATAGCGACCCTGTAGGACAGAGTAGAACTGCCTCTTAGGGTTTCCAAGGAGCACCTGGAGGATTTGAACTGCTGACCTTTTGATTAGCAGCCAAGCTCTTAACCACTGAGCCACCGGGGTTTCCGAGCATTGTACTAAGAACCTCAAAAACCCCACAGGATCCACCAGGTGCCATCCAGTCAGTTCCGATTCCTGGAGACCTCACGTGTGTCAGAGGAGAACTATGCTCCGTAGAGTTTTCAATGGCTGATTTTTTCGGAAGTAGATCACTGGGCCTTTCTTCCGAGGCAGCTCTGGGTGGACTTGAACCTCCAGACTCGTGGTTAGCGCGTTAACCATTTGCACCAGCCAGGAACGCCCCCTATAGGATAGGTACTGTTATTACCCCATCCTGTAAGGAAACAGACACATAGTCTTCCGGAGCTACACTGAGCCTTTTGGGTTTTGACTGTAAAAGTGAGAGAAAGTGACAAAGAAATTTTCTCATAGGTTCGATTAATATAATCAGTAAATCAAAAAATGTAGAACAAAAGCCACACTCACATTCGTCCTCTTTGAGGGGTAGGTAGTTATGACTCCAGTCCTTCATTTCATTTTTCCTAAATGGCAGGACTTGATAATACCATGAGATTCTAAGCATGGTGTAAAACATGTCCAGAAAAAAATCATCATCAACAAGAGCTTTAACAGTAGAGATTTCCTTCTGTGATTTGCTTCAGATTAATTGCCCAGGTAGATAATTAAATTTTTGTTAACTGGAATTTCATCATTGTCTCATTACCACTATTTCATTCAAAGTGGGAGGTGGGGAAAGACTGTGGGTGGACATCATCAAAAGGAAATGCAACTATTTTCATCTATAAGTTTAATATTTCTAACAGTTCTTTTAATCCTGTATGTTAATTCTGTTATGAAAAGTAAGCATTTTATTATTTCTTTGTTCAATAAAGTAGGGATTAAAAATACTCGTCATACTCTGCCTAGCTTGGATTGCCATTATGAGCATCAAATTAAGATAATTTGAATGTCCTTTAGAAGTATGGCGTGTTACTCCTTTGTAAGAAATGGGTATCTTTTTTTTACGATACCAGCTTTCTTTTACCAGTCATAAATGACTAAAGTCATCCAATTAGGTTATACTTCCAACTGACTTAGTAACTTAGAAAGCAAGCCCAGTGACTTCTCTTCTTTTCAATTCCATTCTCATTCCTGAGAGTGCACTGTTTTTCGTTTTGCGTCGGAAGCAGTACAGGAAGAGACGGTCTCCCCTCCATGTTCACCGTCTCGTTGTCCATGAGTGAATTTGATGTCACCAGAACACGTTGCCCCAGGCTGCTCACTTGGGTCGTGTCCCCTCTCCTGTGGTCCATCCTGCTTCACAAGTGGAGTGCAGGGTTCTGGACCACCCGCTCCCCTCAGCCCAAGGGAGTGCTGGGCTGCCTTCCCCTCCAACAGTCTCTTCTGATCCCGGGCTAGGAGGGCGATTTCTGCAGGGCCATCGGGAGCCTTACTTACTGGATAGCCATGTTCCCTTCATTTTTTTTAAAATTTATTTTAGATCCTAACTCTGCTCTCTCCGTTTTCCTTTATAACAAAGTGACCTGCGCCACGTGGATTGGGTGAAGTCATATTTGAACATTTGGAACGAGCTCCAAGCGTACATCAAGGAACACCACACCACAGGCCTCACTTGGAGCAAAACAGTAAGTACCGAGCCCGCTTCCACTTGGCTAGCAAATGGCCAAGGAAATATTCAGGAAAATTGTCGTGCCCCTTGGCTCAGTAACCTCACGCTCCTGAATTTGCCTGAAGGAAAGCATGAGATAAAGCATGCATGTCAAAAGCTGTTTCTGGAAATGTCATTTATGATAGAGAAATTCTTCTGCATGACATGCAGGAAGACATGCAGGCATACAGAAGGAAGGCGGTTAAGTTCTCTATGGTGAGAACGCAATGAAACACCCGAAACAAACAAACAAAACCCAAACCTGTTACCATCGAGTCGATTCCGACTCACAGCGACGCTATAGGACAGAGTAGAACTGCCCCATGGGTTTCCAAGGAGCGGCTGGTGGATTTGAACTGCCGATGTTTTGGTTAGCAGCCGAGCTCTTAACCCCTGCACCACCATGGCTCCATGAAACACTCTATAGCCATTAAAACAACACGTGACGATTACACGTACAACTCTTCACCAATTGATGTGAAGCGATGAAGCGAGCTCAAACGTTCGTGAATAATCAGATGGCACATGTGTTAAGAATCTGTGGTAAAGATTGAAGGGAATAAGGTTTGAGAAGAGTTGTCATTTTTGAGGAGGTCTAATCAACAATCAACTGTCTTAGAAATTTTTCTTAATTTCTCCTTTGGTGTTTTAAAGTTTGTTGAATAATGTTTTTGAATACCTAGGCAATCCTAGGACTTTAAGTAGTATCCTAGTGCTTGGATAAAATCCCAGTCTGTGCCTGTTCCCACTCTAGTTGCCAGGAGAAGGGTCGATCTGGCCTTGCTTCTTCTTCAGCTTGGTGTCTCCAGTCTTCCTGAGCCTGAGTGTGCTGGCGATCCCAGACCCCTGTGGCACCCGGACACACTTCATGGTGTATCACTAGTAGGTTGAACCAAATGAACCTGTTGTCTCAAATTTGGCAGTTTAATATCGTTTAACCTTTACTGCATGGGGGCAGTGATAGTTGTGGTAGAATTCTCACCTTCCGTGCAGGAGACCCGGGTCGACTCCAGGCCGACGCACCTCATGTGAAGTCACCACCCGTCTGTCTGCGGCGGCTCGTGTGTGGCTGCGACGCTGTCAGTTAGCAGTCGAGCTCTTTGACCACTTCGCCGCCAGGTCTCCTCTTCGTATCTTGAGTAGACCTCAATCATAGCACTTGGCATATGGAATTGTCATTTTCTGGGTAACACTGGGCCGCTCGCCACTTGATTGGAAACTCTTCTCTCTGTCCAGTCCCTCACTGGGTTGCTGCACTAAGTACTCAGTAAATGGTTCGAGCTACGTTGTGAATTCGGGGACTCAGACTGTCCTTTGCCCTTTATAGGAAGACTTGCCGTGAAAGCTCCCTTCGGTTAAACATGAACTGTTACTCCAAAGTGGTCACAGTGGATGGTCTAACACTACAGTGAATGGTAGTAAATGTTGAGAAAATGAAGTGGCACATTTGTGAATTCCATTTGAGGATCTAACGCTCACTCTCCTGATAGCTGTTCTCCAACACCTAACTCTTCAGCTCTGAATGTTGATGTCAGTATACCCATTGCCGTCAAGTCGATTCCAACTCATAGCGACCCTACAGAAGAGAATAGAACTGCTCCATAGGGTTTCCAAGGAGCAGCTGGTGGATTCGAACTGCCAACCTTTTGGTTAGCAGCCAAACGCTTAACCACTGCGCCACCACGGCTCCTGTTACAGCAGAATTTGTGATTTTTCAAGGGATTGTGCGACTTCTGCATTGTTCCTCAACACTGACCCCTAAAGACTCACTTCTTTTTATTTTCTCCTTTGCCTGTTTTCTTTATAGCACTGAAATGCACAGTGAAAAATATAACTAAGTTGGTTGATTTCCTTTTTTTCTGCCTACAACATTATGATTTTTGAGAAGAGGGTTGATAAGTATTTGAAGGGTTTTAGTACGGAAAGTTATGTGTGGAAGTGGATGGGTTTTATGTAGACGAATGGAACGATTTTCCATCCAGTTCCAATGTGATGCTGTTGTGTTGTAGCTTAATTTGTCATAAAGAGCACATCTTTGCCATGGAGACAGGTCCTTATTAGAGAACAGTAAACTAAATATCAAGAGTCCTTGGATCTACTGTTATTTCATGGAAGACAGACATGAGAAAGAGTCCCTGGGTAGTGTGAATGGTTAACACGCTTGGCTGCTAACCGAAAGGTTGCAGGTTCGAGTCCACCCAGAAGTGCCTCAGAAGAAACAGCTGGTGATCTACCAAACCAAAAACAGAACCCACTGCCGTTGAGTCAATTCCGACTCCAAGCGACCCTACAGGACAGAGTAAAACTGCCCCGTAGGGTTTCCAAGGAGCAGCTGGTGGATTTAAACTGCTGATCTTTTGGTTAGCAGCCGAACACTTAACCATTGCTCCACTGGGGCTACTTCCAAAAAATCAGCTATCGAAAACTCTGTGGAGCACAACTGAGTTGCCAGGAGCTGGAGTCAACTCGATGGCAGATGTTTTTCTTCTTAAATGCAAGAAGAATGAGAATCCATTTGTGGCAAATAATCATATCAACAAATACTAGCCTATTAATTCTCTAATGAGGCCCATGAAAAACAAATAGAAAAATTATTTTTAAACGGTTTGAATACCTTGAATTCAGTGTACAAAGCCAAGTAATTGTGTTTATGAATATGAAAGAGAAGAATTGACTATTAATTGTAGAAAAATAAATGTAGATGTTTTGCTTTGTTCTAGGGTGAATACTTATCTTTTAATTATGTTCTTTAGAAACATATGCTTTGTGACAGTGACTCTCAAGCTTTTTAAGACAATCCATAGTACGGAATACATTTTACATACACACACACCACTCACACTGTTGAAACATGTTTTACCCAACAGTACTTCCTCTTACCACGTACAACGTATTCAGATATTTTCTTTTCTATTTTAAGTAATTTTTATAAAATTCTGGCTGAGACCTACTAAACTGATTTCATCACCCACTGAGGGATCACATCCCAGATTTTGAAAAACATGGTGTAAAACATACATGTTATTTTATACAAAATGCAAGTGATCCATGGAGCACCCGTTAGGCATCATGGCTAGCCATAATAATGACAGCCGTTATTACTGAGTACATATTGTGCTGTGGGACAATTCAATTCAAAATGGCCATCGTCATAAAGTAGAGCATCTACTTCAGTTCTTTGAAAACCAAAAAACTCATTGTCATCGAGTCGATTCTGACTCATACGATCCTGTAGGACAGAGTAGAACTGCCCCATAGAGTTTCCAAGGAGTGCCTGGTGGATTCGAACTGCCCACCTTTTGGTTAGCAGCCATAGCACTTAACCACTACACCACCATGGTTTAAGAAAGAGCAATATGATAAGGTTTTGGTCAGATATTAAAAATAGGGAAAGTATGCAATAAGAAAATGTTGGTTCAGAAACATCATATTACAGAATCTTTTGACAAGTGTTAAGACATACGCATAGAAGCATACTTTCCTGATATTTTTATCCGCTTCTAAGGTTTGAGGTGGGGAGGAACCTATTACAAAGTATATATAAAAATCATACTTGAACTTTAAAATGAAATTTCTACTTTATAAAACATCTATTCAAAAGATTCTGAAGCTTGATATAGCATAAATCAAAATCATTTCTCCTCACTAACTATGGTCTGTCGGCACAGCAGTGAAATGCATGATAAACAGTTACAGCCAGATTCACAGCATCTTTGCAAAGGAAAGGGCTTTTAGAATTGCCTGATCAGATGGCCTTGGGGAAGAAAACTATGATAAAAATTATTTCATTTATTCCCCCACTGATTACAACTATGTAAACACTGTATGTTTATAAAATGATAAGGATCAGGAGAGAATGTGGAAGTATTTGGTATTGCTGTTCCCTAATACCGTAACATTTACAGGATTTCAAAAATCATTCCTTCCTGATGGACGCAATAATTTACAGTGCCCTTACACGCACCACAAAAAGCTACAGGTACTTAACATCTCAAGTATTTGGAGTAATTCTTGTTTTCTTCTATTTTCAAATTGGATTTTGAGATGCGCATTCTGTGGGGTTTTTAGTAACTGACCGCACACTGCTGAGACTTTGAGTTTCCAAGGCTGCCTCGCTGTAAGAATACTTCCTTCCCCCGAGCTAACAGTTGGAACTGAATCTGCTGTTCCCACCTCCTGACCTTTGCTTCCAGACGGCAGCTGCGCCCGGCAACTGCTGCTCCGCTCAGTTGTCACAGCAAAATGTAAACCTTTGAGGTGAACGATGTCTCTGGACAGAGACTGGCACGAGTGTGTGTGTGTGAGTGTGTACATGTGCTCACACAAGTATGCTGGGGGGGTGCATTTGGGGGAAGAAGCAGCTGTAGGGTAATCTATGTGGAATTTCTCATCATTTATGCTTACCATGGTAAATGGAATCTTCTCGTTTCTGCGAGCTTTTTTATCCCCCCCAACATGAAAGCAATTGTGGACTAAAAGAAGTCTACCGTTTTCATATTGTTTGATCATTGGGGCCTTTTTTCATATTAATGTACATAGCTTCCTCAGTACTAGGTTCAAATACACTTTGCTGAAGCGTTTTGTTGAATCGATCTCTTGGCACCAACCCAGTAGAGACACCGTTACTTACTATCCCATGCAGTTGGCGGATTTGTAATATTCTTTGGCAGTTCCTTCAAATCAAAGGTCTTAAGCTGAAAAACTAAGGCCTAATCTTTACACTTATAATTACAAAATAATTGATTTCTTTTTTCTATGGACTGTCCAGATCAGCATTCAAACTATTATTCCATTCTGTGCGGATCTGGCCAGAGAAAGGTCATGAAAAGAATTCCATGACTAGGATAAAATATGATTGTTTCCTTAACTTTCTGGTGTTAAATTTGTTGGCATATTTCTGTCTTTTCATGGGTCTTCCTGAATTACTTTAGTTTTGCGAACAACTAGGGTATAATTGTAGAGTAGAATAAAACTACT